TTTTGTCCCCCCCTCTCTCTCTCTCCCTTTTTTTCTCTCTCTCTCTCTCACTTTTTCCCTCTTTTCTCTCTCTCTCTTTCTCCCTCTCTTCCTCTCTCATTGTTCGCCGGACATTTAGTGAGTATAAGAATAAACATAGGATTACATAGAAATATGTTCATAACTAATAAATATATAACAATAGTAAATACGTAATACTTAATATTAAATACATAACTTAACTAGTAAATGCATAAAACTCTTATGTTATGTATTTACTATTACTACATAACTACTATATTTACAATCAATACATAACTATGATTATGTATTAATAGTAATTACATAACATAAGGTTCGCCGATAATTTAGTATTGTTGTAATACTAAAAAATCTTTATATTGATGTATTTATTAGTTACGGACATGCATAATGTTTCTATGTAGTCCTATGTTTTATACGTAATGTAAGATGTAAGTGTAACAAATGAATTATGAATAATCAGATTATAAACACTTGGACAAACAAAAAGATGTTTATCTGAATTCCAAACAATATATGTATAAATATATCCTAAATATTATATAATATAATGTATCCTGAATATTATATAGTTTAACTATAAATATACGCATCTATATGTATAATATATATATACATAATTTATGTATCCTGAATGTAATATAAGCATAGATATGTGTCTATATGTATGTAAATATATATACATACATATATATGTATATATACATATATATATATAGAATATAATCTAAGATATAATATATGAAATATAATATAAGAGATATATCTTGAAAGTTTTTATTTCTCAAGTTCGTAAAACATTTTCAGTTTGTTAAACACTTTAACACTTGCAAGGAGAAAAAACTATCAATGACCAATTATTTATATGTAACTGCTTAAAAGCATAATAAATTACATGCATTAGTTACTTTTATATAGTCAGTCAATATTTATATTATTGTAAAGAGATCTATAATCGCTATGACCAGTAGGACTTTAGGCATTGAAGGCTCGATCTGCACTGATCCTCTCTCCACAGTCGCCGCTCTCAGACTGATAAACTCCTCCCCTTTAGGTAACGTCACGCCTCCCTTAGCGCCATTCACACTCCATTTCGTTTCTCACTTGAGCCAATGAGCTTCCCTCTTTCCTCTCATCGGACGCATCCCCTGCTCCGGCGACCAATCACGCTGTCGCTCGCTCTTGTGACGTCACATACTCACGTGCAATCAATCAATTGGGGTTTGCGAAATTCAAACCATTCCTCAGGCATTATGACAGCTACTTCTGTCTATCTTCTACCTGTCTACTTTCTATGTCCCGGCCTGTGTCAGCTTTTTATGGCTGTCTCATTTTGTTCTGTGACACTCGGTGCTTACCGTGGCGGCTCCTGCCGCCATGGTGTAAGCATAACCTCTTTACCAGCACGACGGCTGTTGTAGGCGGTCCCTGTCTCAGGAATTGTGTATGCTCACAATTCTCTAAGTAATGTGCGAGTGTGGCGTTCGGCTCCCCGCAGTACATGCAACACTTCTCAATAATTGTCTCTATGATCTGCCATGCACAGTGGAAACGTAGGAGCATTCTGTGAGAGAGTATTTCAGAGAACATTTCATTTCTCTTATGAACACATGAAATAACTTAATTGTAGATTAGGTTAGGTTAAATCACGTTTAGGTTAGGTTAGGTATGGATTAGGGTAGTTCAGGTTGCGTTTAGTTTAGAATAGCTAGGTTAGAATTGTTAAGTTTGAAATGTTAAGTTAGAGTAAAATCGTTATTTTAGGCTAGGTATAGGATGGGTTAGGTTAGGTTTAGCTTAGGTTAGATATGGGTTAGGTTATTTCAGGTTTAATTTAGGATAGAATATTTGGAGTAAAATCGCAAGGTTAGGAAAGTTTATAAATGTTAAATTAGGGTAAAATCGTTATTTTAGGTTAGGTTAGATAGGTTGGGTTAGGTCAGGTTTAGGTTAGATTAGATATGGTTTAACTCAGTTTATATTACATTTAGGTTAGAGTGATTAGCTTAGAATTGTAAGGTTAGAAATCGTTATTTAGGTTGAGTAAATGTTGGTTTAGGTTAAATTTAAGTTACGCTTAGAATAGATTAAAATCGTAAGGTTAGATTTAGTTAGAATCATAAGGTTAGATTAGAATCGTTATTTTAGGTAGATAGGTTTTGAGTTAGGTTGGGACAGGTACAAGGAAACAAAAGACATCT